AGGCTTGGCTAAAAGCTTATGCAGGGTTCCTGACAGGAGGAGCCGGTGCCTGCCCGCTGCTGGGTGAAGCTTGGTCCTGGACCTCTGATGGGTAGGGCCATGTCTAGAGGCATTTGTGGCTTAGGAAGTTTGCTGATGGGTGGGACTCTGTTCCCACCCAGTATGTTGTTTGGCCTGAGGCCTCCCTACAGGCTGTTGGGTGGGGCAAGGTCTTGGTGCTATGATCCAATCAATATGTCAGCCTCCAGGAAAGCTCATGTAGATGAACACTCCTGGAATGTATGTCACCAGCTTTTATGTCCCCTGGGCGAGCCATAGCTGTCCCCTATGTCTCCAAGAGACCTTCCAAAATCAGCAGGTAGGCTTGGCCTAGATTTTATGAAATCACTGCCTCTATCCTTGGTCCTGGTGCAGGCAAGATTCTGTGTATGTTTCTAAGAGAATGAAGTCTGTTTTCCCCAGCCCCGTGGGTCTTCTTGAGCCAAGCCCTGCTGGCCTTCAAAACCCTATGACCTGGGGTCTCCTTCTCCCAATGCCAGAACCCCGGGCTAGGGAGTCCCGTGTGGGGCCCAGAACTCTGACTCTTGTGGGTGGCCCTCTGCAACCCAATTATTCCTCAGCTAATGGGTCGCCCACCCAGGAGGGTATGGGGCTTGATTATATCATAAGCACATCTCTCCTACCTGCTGTGGTTCCCGCTTTATGTTTCCAGTTGAAGATCTTTTTGCTAGGTTCCAGTCTTTTTTTGATGGTTAGCAGTCAGTTGTGGTTTCATTGTAGTCACAAGGAGAAGGAGCTCATGACCCTACCACTCTGCCATCTTGACTGGAAATCCTCCAAATGTATTTATTTCTTACTGTTTTTCCACTTAGGCACAAGAACAGCTTCAGGGGTTTAAAAGAATTATTTATTGGATGATAATAAGGTTACAGAGATGATAGCAGGTATCTGAAAACTAACTACTAAGAGCACAGTGGAAGCACTGCAGTAATACTGAATTTCTGTGAACAGCACACTTACATCATAAACCTACTACTACCTTAAAAAATCTAGAAAACCCAGGGACATAGAAGTATATATCCATTAACTGTCAAAGTAATGATGTCATACATCCTCTACTGTATACAAGTGAAAGAATAAATGAAAAAGGCAAATTACAACTTAGACTAATTGTTTTGACTTCAAGGACCTCCTTGAAAGAGTCTTGGGGAATCCGTGGGCTCCCAGACCACATTTTGAAACTGCTGCTGTATGTTATTACGTCATTTTGTAAGTGCCCCGATTTTTTTCACTGTCACATGGCTGTAATAAAATCTTTGTACATGATTTTTTTCCCCTCTCTGTTAGCTGTTATTTTCATATGATAGATTACCAAAAATAATATCACTGAGACAAATTCAAAATGTGGTAGGACATCGAATAAGACAGTTGTCCTAGTCTCTTAAAAAGTCAATATAATGGGGGAAAACGCAGGAGAAAGGTTGTAGAATGAGCGACTAGAGAAACGTAACAGCCAAAAACAGTGTGTGGATTTTTACAGGATACTGGTTTGAAAAGAAAAAAAGATTTTTGAACAATAGGTAATATTTGAATATAGGACAGATATTAGGTGATATTACGGAATTACAGTTAATAGTTCTTATGTGTGATAATAGTATTTTAGTTATTTTATTTAGAAACATTCTTATTTTTAGAATTTGTATGCCCAAATATTCGGGGTAAAATTTCATGATATCTGCAACTTACTTTCAAATGTTTCATCAAAAAAACTCTACAAATCTATTTATCAACATGCATATACAAAGATAGAGGGATTGAAGGTAAAGAAAGCAAAGATTGCCCAGTGTTAACAGTTGCAAATCTAGGTGGTGGGGATACAGGTGATTCTTGAACGATTCTTTCAACCTTGCAATTTATTTGACATTTTTCATAGTAAAAAGTTGGTTAATAAATGAAGTCACTGGATCAAATGTTGTTAATATTATTGCTTCATTTCTAAATTATTATCTAAAAGAATATGGCATGATTTTAAAGCTTACATGAGGCATTTTTAAATACA